GAGGTAGTGCAGTGCATTCAGTAAAGCTCTGCACACCAACAAGGGAACAGTACGCTCTGTGTTGGAAACTAACAAACACACGTATGGGAACATGAATGATAAAGAGGGATTTAAAGTGGTGAAGTGGGGCTTGCTCATGGGGTTGGTGGACACGGTCACAGTGTGTCTGTATCCAAATTATAGGTGAGAGAAATCCAGCTATTTATTTCAGTCTTTCTAGCACCATGGTACCACGCCCCTCAAATTAGTTTTTTCATTATCGATGTTTCCCTGTTATGGTTTTTTTCTTCTGTTTTACGGCTGATGTTATTCACATATTTTCTTTTCTCATTAATCAGTGTTATAAACCCTGTTTGATGTAGTTCTATTTATCCCCAGTTCTCTCTGTTGTATCCAGCTTTCTTCTGTCTACAACTCAATATCCGCAGGGAACAATAAAGTCCAATCTAATCTTACACAGTGTTATACAGTGATAAACCAAGTTAACTACAATAGTGTCGAGATAAAAGTGGGTACTTGGAGCTTAGCTAGAATCCTTGTAAACCAGGTTACAATGAGCTATGTTACTTGTCCATAAGTGTGCTATCATTACTTTTTCAGCAGTGTTTGAATGACCAAACTCTCACTATCCCCCAAAGCTTTTCCCATTCTCCATTGAATATAAAGATAATAAGTTGCATACAAGAGAAAACACATGTAGTGAGTTTCAGAGACGCTTTTATTTGGAAAAATATAAATATCTAGGTAAAATATTCCAACATGATCACAAACATTTTAAATCAATTCACAACACCACCATTCTCAGCTAATACAGTGACCTTTGGATATAAATATCTGCCACTCGACTAACAAGAAACACAAACACATATTTACAGCTGCAGCCAGAGCATTCTGTACTTTACACAGAGATCAGAGACTGTCAAGAGCTTGTATAAAAACCCTACTCCGACTCCTCACCCCCCCCCCCCCCCATTCCCCTCTGATTCATCTTCCTCATGCACGTCATTTTCCATCTGTCACTTTCTGCGTCATTGCATACCTTTATCAGCTTCTACAGGTATGATTCATGAATCTAATGTCCTCAAGAACACTTTCATTATACCTTTTCAATGCAAAAAAATAAAAAATAGTTGGGTCGCAGTAATTTCACTGATCAACAGATATGAGGCCAGCTGGCAAGCACAGGCTGGGATCAGCCCATGGCACAGCTGAGAACACACACCCTGCCTCTCCACCACAATGCCCTCACAACCATCTGTAATACCACTGACCACCAAATGCAGACGATGACTGGTGCTGTGCTCGCCAAGAAACACAGATAGCGCTAAAGATCTACAGCTTTTAATACGAGATTTCTGTATATATATTTTTGTTCAAGCCAATTCCTAAAACACGTACTATATTGACTATTGGCACCCATCTCGTCTTTCCCTAACATCCCCTCTTTCTGGTTTTGTTTATCAGCCTCTCTGGGCCTCTATGGACAGGGAGCGACGCAGGTCTCTGGGCCCTTTGAAGAAATCCATGGCGCCAGGCTTGACTGGAGGGAGGTCTTTGAGGATCTCGTTCACGCTCCTCTTGCTGGGACAGGCTCCATCTGGGGCCGTTAAGGGCAGCAGGTCCTCTTCTGTGTGTGGAGCTCCACGTCCGAGCCTGATGCCCAGCTCTGCAGGGGTGAATATGGGTAAGGGGAGGGTTCTTCTCTTTGGCAGCAGCTGGTGCTCCCTCACCCCACTTTCCACAGTGCCCACTCTGAAGACACCGGAGGGGCAGATCTGTGTCAGCGAGCGGGCCTGCCACTGCCGGGACAGAGTCTCCCTACGAGAGTCGTCATTCATGTTCATTGTCTGCCTGTGGGCATCAGAAAAAAAGTTGGAAACTGTTGGAGCATTCAATGTGATTAACATCTGCCTGATTTTGAACTGCCTTCGAATATGAGATCATCAACTATCGCCTGGTATACATGAGCAAGAAGCAATCTATTTCTAATGGTAACGTTAATGGTAACTCTTCAACTCTCATTCAGTGAGGGATCAGGGGACCTGCAGAAGGTTCTCTGATCAGTCTGTGAGTCTCACCTGTCCTGAGGGTGAGTCTTGAGACTGACACTAGTCCAGTCAGCGCTGTAGCTCTCCCTGTTAGCCTTGTTCTCCTCCCGTACGCTGCAGGCCAGCTCCGCTCCCACCATCACACCGTTTTGCTTCTCTAGGACGGTACAGAATGGCATCGTCTCTGCTCTAGGAAGATCTGTCTCAGATATTTAGTCTCAAATGGGTTTTGTTGATGGGTCTTCTGTGTCTGTGATGAGGGTCTTCTGTGCTCAGTGATGCTCCCGATGGCTGTGTCTCCTGGCTCCTGTCTCTCTTTTTGTGATCTGTCTGGCTGGGCTTACGTCTGTCTACGGCTTTTATAGATATCCTGTTGCTATTCCTGATGCATGTTGTCACTCTACAATCAGTATGCACTGACATCCAACACCAAGTGCACCGTGTCTCATTCCCTGAGAGCCCAAACTCTGAGGAGGGGTTACGGGTAAATGGGCTGTGAATCCCCCTGATTCTCAAAGTGTATGCCCAGCCTCCACTGTTATCGCTCACCCAAACACTTTCCACTTCAGCCGGGTTTCAGTGTCTCAGAGGAGAGAGTATCATGGAGACACTCTCTACCAAGATTATATTAACATGGAGACAGACAAACACAACAGGTTTAGTCTTCCGAGGAATCTTAATATACTTTGGCTTTGATGTACACAAAGTGACACTGTGTTAATGTGGAAAGATAACAATGATGCAGCTGTTTTACTGTACACAAAGGAAATATCCGACATGTATGATCAGAAATAACACATCTGTCACTTGGGGATAAAAGGTGAAAAGCTCATTATATCCTGCTGACTTTAAAATCATAATGCAGTTCAGAAGGAGTTTTTTTAACAACAGCTGTGCCCTCCGACAACATCAATGGCATTAAATGCCATTACAGTGCGCTGCCTCACTGTAACAGCGAAAGCTCTTTCCCTAGTGATTCATTACTTTAGTGACAGAGCACCTCAAGAGCCACACACACACACACACACACACACACGCACACACTCACACATACACACACATGCATACACAAACACACACACACTGTCTCAAACATACACACACACACACACACTGACAGTTGTCTGCTGGTATGATGTTACTACCGGTCCCTGGCTCTGACTCATTCATCCACATCAGGTACTGATATCACCAAATACCAGAGATCAGGTATCATGCACACGCGCACAGGTGCACACGCGCACAGGTGCACACGCGCACGCACGCACACGCACACACACACACACACACACACACTGCTACATGAAATATAATGATCCTAATGACAAGATAATTCACACTGACTTTAAATGTGTTTTTCATTAGTTTCACATGCAATGACAAAAGTATGCCATCTGCTTAAATATGTGCCTCATTATGACATCTAGCTGTTTCACTGCATATTTTCAAGCCTAAATGACTGCCATTCCTTTCCACTGACTGTGCATGGCCTGTTTATCTAATGTAACAGTTATGTCCCTCTGCCTGTTAAGTGTGACAGTATTTCCTTTCATTTCTGTCACTTCTCAGCAGGGGGACATTTCATTGGTAAATTATTGCTCAATGTCAGAGTGGGGAAAAAGAGCCTGAGTCTTCAGTCATGTTGTGACACCATGGCAACCATGAAATGCCATTTCAGAAACGTAGGAAGTCACTTTGCAGGGTCCTTCAGCGTTAACATTAGGCATTTCACAATATTAAGATTCTCTTCTAATAAATGTGTAGAAACACAATTACAAAAGAAATACATGAAAAACATAAAATAAACAAACTATTTTCTAAGTCTTATTAATCTTTGATTGCTGGATTTCATTACAGGTTTAGTCTTTTTTTGCAAATGACTCACAAACTTAGCTAGAATGCACAAGATACTGAGCAATATAGTGGTTTGTAATAATTTGGGTACTGGCCTGCTGAAACTGCAAAAGGACATCACAGGCTGTCTCATCCCTGCTGTTTTTGTGTGATTCATGCAATGCTAATGAAAGCCAGGGGTGTGGAGGGTCTGTAAAGGTGAACAGTGACTAGGTGAACCCTGTCACAGTGATCACCCTCCTCCCAATCCTCACCCCTCCACCTCTGCCAGACCACGACAGGACAGGAACAGCTTTGTGTTGCATAACAGCACGGCACAGTTGCTGGGAAATGACATTTAGATGAGCTGTCACTGACTGGAAGTGGGGGGGTAGAGAAGGGCAATTTCAGGATATATCCTGCCCTGTCAGGAAGTGATGAAGTTTGTAAGTCTGAGTAAGTCAGATCGTTTTTGTGGCAAATACATTGATTTGGGAGGACAGAATATCCACCTACACAAGTAAGATGTGACACTGTGCTTATCTAGCAAAAAAGTATGAGTAGAAGTGAACTTTCTATTGATTCATGCTCACAGTCTCCAACTCCACTCAGTTATCAGCTATTTCAGTATCAGTGTGTGTGTGTGTGTGTGTGTTGTGTCTGAGACAACGCGCCAGCAGGCTGGTGTTCAAACATGTGCCCTCAGCAGTGTCTCTCTTACAAAAAAACAGCAACAACAACAAGCAGCTGACGACCCAAACACCATATTCTTCGTCCATCTTGGAAACATGTTTGGTCAAAGTGGGATATTTAGAAAGTCAGGGAGCACCAGACTTGGATTTGAGGTATGTCTGTGGATCAGAGTGTAAGCCAGAAATGGGTAAACAAACAATCTAAATGAGGGCATAGGATCAGACCAAAGAGGACCATTGTTTCCACTGCAAAGGAATGTTTCTCTCATGCCAGAGTTTCAGTGAAACCAATGCTCACTTGATCTCCATACACATTGCCAATTTGTATGTATTTAATTTTTACATCCTCTTGCCATTTTGGATCAAAAGGAAACTCATAGTAATGGACAAAGGACACACCCTGGGAAGTAACATACCAACATACATGTGACACTGTACAGGCTTCAGGCTGGAACTTTATTTAATCATAAACTGGACGTGATCACATGCACAAACTTCCAAATGGCTTTCACATTTTCAGTAAATTGCTGAAGGTGAAAAAACACCCTTTTGCATTACCCAAAAGTCACATACACAACCAATGCAAAATGTTCAACATAATGTACTTCCATCTGCTATCTTTCCAAAATGTTAGACTTTAAAATGTTTAAAGTTACACAAATATACATTCTTATGAAACTTTTAAGAAAATCTGACAGCAGTTCAGTTGGCTATTTATTCAGTGTCTTAACCGATCATGTGATTGAATAAAATGTGGGCTGATAATCATAGGACAAAAATAAAGAGGCTCTTCTAAAAGGAACATCTCTACCCTGAAGGTTCACAACAGCTAAACAATGAGCAAGCTAACAGTAACATTTGGATGCTACAAAATCAGATGCTGTTGGTACCTGTACTTGTGGTTAAATATGTAAATTGTAATCCCTGTACATTTTGCTGTATGATGTCCTTTTGTTGTTTATGTTTTTATGTCTTCTTGTGGAACCTACTGCTGCAGGTCTCCCTTGAAAAAGAGATCATTGATCTCAATGGGATTTTACCTGGATAAATAAAGGTTTTGAATTGAATTGAATTTACCAGAATATCAGCAAAGCCACATAAGATTTCGACAAGAGAAAAACCCACTAAGACTCAAGCTGTATAATTGGTGAGAAACTAGAAATTGTTCAGCCTAAAACTGCCAAGAAGCAGCAAAAGACACTTGATGGTTGGATCTATGCATTTCTGTCATCCTGGTCTTCGAGGTTGATGGCTACTGCCCCCTGCCTTGTGTCTATTATTACTGCAGCCAGTAGGTCTCAAGATCTGTCACTCAAGTTTCCATCTCCCCCGTTCTCGTCCTCACTTTCTGCATTGCCTTTCCTGGCCTCCATCCTGGCCAGCAGCAGCGGCAGGTTTATAGCAAGGCCCGGCTCATCCTCTTCAGAATTATCCATTGGAGGATAGAAGCGCTTTGCCTTAGCCAGGAAATCGTCTGCTACATCTAGATAGAGGAGACGATCCTATAAAGAGGTAAAGAAAAAGTGGTTGAGGCAGTGAACCTAAATGTGATTGTAATGTAATATGGCAACTGATGTGATCTGAAGCTTCTTTTGACCAATTAAAACAATGATGGACTTTAACTGTAGAAAGATCATCAGAAAATGAATAGTATATTTGTGCAAGAAAGAGATATTGTGAATGTGGGAAATGGAGTGAATTAATACATGTTTCAATAAGATTCAACATGCTATTATTAATCCCTTGGGGGAGAATTAGTATCTAATAAGCACTGTCTTCATACTAAAATAAACCCTAACCTTCAATTATAAACTAGTACAATAGAATGCTTTCAGTTACGGTCCAATAAATAGAATTACAGTTGAACACATTAAACTGTTTGCTGTGGTCATTTGACTAGTTCAAAATCAATTGGCTATTGTTGTTAGTTGTTATGGTGACACAAAAGTAAGCCATACCTTAGTCACAGTTTTTTGGAGTCCTGTAGAATACCAACATTGCTACTAGACACCACAACCAGATGTTTTCCTAACCCTTATCGAAGTTACAGTGTGTCCGCAGACAGACCTACTAACTTCTTTGCAATGGCAGGGGTAAATATAAAAATGGCCGCCACTCTGACCTTCCCACTCTTTTGATATTGTTGGGAATGTCGATTTCTCCGTCAGTTTTTTATAGTCACAGTACATCAAGTTTAAATGACTGTTTCCTTTGACAGCCTTACTCCTTCCAAAATGTAAGAGGATCACCATAGGTTCATACCGCGTTCATGCGCCTGATCTCAGAAATACAGTAAAAGGCGTTCAAATGACTTTATGGATAATGAAATGAGTGGCAGTTAGACATACTGGATAAGACTGCATCAAGAGGATAGGGACATTACATATTGTTGTGGCAGGGAAAGAGTAAACAGGCCCCCATTTTGGGTCAGGTTATAGTTATGATGAGTGATATGTCCCACAGCACCCAAGGGTGTTTTTATAACCCTTAACTCCAAGTCACAGCAAGGGTGCTCTCACTTCTGTTTTGATGTTTATTATCACTGACCAGCCCCAGCTCTCACCAGGATTAGTAGATATCTTTCTGGGGGTGTCTCTCTGCTGCTGAAGAGGGAAGTCTCAGTGTGGAGTGTATGAAGCAGATCACGTGCTGCAGGGGCGTTACGCATACGGTCATGTGAGGCTCCAGCTGACACATTGAGTAGTGAGTCTGCCTCTGCCATGAAACCTAGAAAAAGAAGGCAGACCCTGTATGGTTACTTTGTCCTGTAGAAGTGACAGTCTCTCCCACATCTCCTCTGCCTGGCGTTACCTAAGTTCTCCAGGATTTGCCTCCATTTGTCTCTGACTTCCCGACGAGTATCTCTCATGGCCTCAATGTCAACACTCAGTCGCCGATAGCCCTAAACAAGACAAGGACAAAGCTTTACAAAAGTATTTCTTTGTGCCAGGTCACGTGTCATTTCTCTAATAGAAAAGGCTCTTCTGGTCTACTCTCTATATTAAAAAAAACATCATTGTCATGCTGCCCCAAAGCTGATTTGAATAACTGAACACTCAAATGGGGATCTATTTGTACTACTGTTAATTGCCTTAATTGTAATCATTTTCAGGCAAACATGATTTAAATTAAGCCTCAAATCTGTATTGAGTGTGAAGACAATACTCCATACCGTGGATCCCATGGGGGTCTTGGTCCTGGCCTGCAGCAGGCCGTACAGCACCCGGTCGTCTTGTCTCTCTGAGTGGCTGGGGTCTCCCGGTTCACTCCACAGGTTGGTCTCCTCATCACGACGCTTCTGGACTTCACGGTTAAAATACTCCAAGGGATCCTGCCTGTGTGGTCAGCAAACAAACAGAAGTTTCATACAGTGGTTGTACATGCATAATCAAACAGATTTACCACACATGAAACTTTGTGGATAGTAACAATGAAGTTGTATGTTCTGACAACACTGTTTCTGGCCTTTTAAATATCTTCTTACGGTACTAAAGGCTGCTTTTCGTCATCCTCATCGTCGTCGTCAGCGGTGCTGCAGCAGCAGCAGCAGCAGAACTTCATGAAGGCAGAACCCATCTAGAGTCAATGGTTGCAATTCCAGACGCACAATGGCAGAACAACTTCTTTTGGGTCTGTAGGTGCTCTTAAGGGTTTCTTTATACCTTATTCACAGCCTGTTTCAAAACAGATGTGTCAAAGTAAGAACAGTTAGCTGTCACAAGTTCACTTGAATAAATCTTAATCATTTGGTTTAGCATTTGTATCAGAAGGATCAACAGGTCAGAAATAGTAACAAAGCTAAAAAGTCAACTCTACCTTATTTTCAGCTTCCCATTTTCAGGGCCCAGCCGCGGCTCCTTGTTCAGCAGAGGTCCGTCCTGCAGATTATAAACCAGAGCCCGCCCAGGAGGAAGGCAGCCCGTCGACTGGTGCTTCTCATTAGCCTGACATGAAGGACAATGAGAGCAGTGAGACGCTCGCTCTCTCATCGATGAAAAAACACACATATTCACACACCCACAGCCTCAGAAGACAGTCACAACTTAATCATGTGAGCGGCTCCATCTCTTGTCCTTAGCATTGTGTTTTGCCCCAGGGACAACGCATATCGTCTTCAACAGTACTTACACACACTCTGTTTCCATGACTTAACCAGGGCTGTATTGATTTTAGGATCATTTCCTTTGATTTGATGGATTAGTTTGAAAGATTGTTGATGTTCACTTGAAAGGAGAATTTAGTTTCCAAAAAAAGTGTTTTAATGAAAGAGCAAAGGTCTGGGAAGGAATTGTGAACATTATGGCCTTCTCTCCAACTATCATCCATGTGACATATGCTCAAGTCACAGGGTACAATTGTTCATGACAGAGAAATGGCCAAAGTGGGATAAAGTGTGTGTAGAATCTAGTGTGATAAGTCGAGTCTCATTCACCTCTAATGCTGTCTTCATGTGTGAGGGGAAAATAAAATAGAAAATAGAATAAAAAAATCGGTATAATTGCAAAAAAGTTGTATGTACATATGCAATGTACTCAGAAAGATAAACAAAGAGGTTTATATGATCCACTTCTTTTGTCTAAATGAGATTTGGAAGCTGTCATGAGTTCATAGATTTTATTAAACATAAGACACTGGTTAAGACTCAGTAACGGTTGGTCAGTACTGCTGTGATGGCTTTAAATTAACATGCCTGATGAATCATTGATAAGCCACATTCAATGTATTATACAAAAAAATATATCAAAGAGAAACAAGTCCTCTAAGCAGACTCTATAAGCATACATTGATTCAACTGTATAAAATAAATGCAAAGCAAAAGAAAGGGCTGACATGTAATGTGTCTTTGATAAAAGGCACCAAATTGTTTAATCGATTTAAAAGTGACGCTCTTTGGTCTCTACAGCTATTTGAACCAATAATCAGTCCTGTTTTAGTTTTATAACTTCCTCTGAGGCGGTTCATTTTTCATTTTGGTTTCCTTGTTATAAAAAAACTACAAGCCAGATTTTCACGACTCTTGGTTCAGGCCAAAGGAGAACCACTTACATAATGGAGTCATGGATCTGATACAGACATCATTTTAACTAATAGAATCAGCCGCTCGTTGACTGAGCTTCTAGTTACATATGCATTAAGAAATCACGATTTTCCGAGGTACATAATTTGAAACAAAGCTTAACAAGCCAGGGGCAACATTCTCTAATTGATTAAAAGAAGAATGTTATGCTTGATGAGGTAAGAAATGAAAGTAAAACATCATTAAGTGTCACATCTCAGGTCTGAGGGAGGACAGAAACATAATGATAATTAGTAGCAGAGATATACATTTTGATGACAAAAAGTGAGTCAGCTTTATAACACAAGGCCACAGGAGGTCATTGGCACCAAAGACAGCTCTAGTAAGCACACTGCAGCCTAATGTAAGCTGATCTTTTGTCTTAATGAGCTCGTAATCCATTTGCAACACAGAACAGCCTCCTGATCTGACTCAGTTGAGGATGATTACATGTAGCATTGGATATCATTTCACAAACTCAGAATGTAGATCAGTGGTGTCTCCCTCTAGTGGGGACAGGACTGAAGGGTGACTTCTTTTCACATCTACCCCAGTGAAGTTGAGAAGAATATACTGTCGGGGGTTAGTATTAGGGCAGGTGCAGAGAAACATATACAAGATGCTGCAGTGAAAACATGCACACAAAATGATCTTAACAAAGAAAAGAAAAACAATGGCTAGCAGTGTGTGCAGTAAGATAAGGCTCAGAGAGACAGCTGCTTCATGCTATTGCACCACTTCTGTTTTCACAAGTGAGATACCTTCATCAATGTTTCAGTAATGTCCATCCTGCAATGTCATTGTGAGGAAACACAGCTTTCAATGCACACAAAGGGAGACACAGCCAAACATATACAGGTCCACATTAAAATATATGTGACCACCCTTGATATTTGAAATCTGAATAACTCCTCTTCTATTGAGACTGAAATGTGGTGAATGTGTGGTCACATGTCTCATCTCCTATGCTCAGAAGTCCAGTATTTTCAGTCAGGGTAGCACATCCCTTTAGCTCAGGGTACTTCTGGAGTCCTCCAAACGCAAACACAGACACCTGCTGGGATGTCCCTCCTGTTTTAGGTGAGGTGGACGGAGCGGAAGGAAGGCCGCAACTCAGTGATGCGTTGGCGTAAATAGGACATGAATTCAAACATGGTGGCGGCCAGACTCTGGTGGATGAGGTAGCGGGGCAGTCGGCCCTGACAAGACACAAAAAGGGATTTTAAATGGTGTTCTTCAATCACATTGAACACTTTTGAACTGTTATATACACACATATGATTTAAACGTATGCATTTTGTTTATTTTCAAATGCATCTTGAATCATCACCCATTTCATGGCTCTATGGATGGCAGCTTGATATTGAAATATCTCCACTATATTAATGGATTGCTCATAGATAAAGGACTTATATAGGTTCTTGTTTTCTAATCTCAGGCCTTCGTCAGGTCAAATATCAATTTGTTTAGTCACAGTCCCATCAGGGAACCGTTTGTTTGCCTCAGTAGGGCTATACAGAAATCTCTAAGCTTTATTCTTAACGTTGGAATTCTAACTAAACGCTCCACAATTTTTCTTAATTCTTATTTTGCTTGTCTATTTATTCTTTGTAAAGCCAGGATTTCTCCACGGTTACAGATAGATTAGGCTACATTAATAGTATTAGTGTCATACTTTTGGTAGAATTAGATTCCAGTGGTGGCTGTTTTCCACTTGATCAAAACATTACCTATAACTCCAGTGTTGTAAAGTCCAAAGGTAAAACATTATGGAAATAAATATCCAGCTTCATGACATATTTGTGGGTTTTAAGCTTCCAAAAATAAAATAAACTGTTGGCTCATGCTTTTTTGTTTTAGGATGAGGACATCATAAACTGTGATAGATCAAATTTGAAGCTTTACAAGAAAATCTTAATACAAACTTCAGCTAAAACAACAAGACATGGCTACAGCCCTTTGTCTCAGTGTGTTCTGTATTTCAAATGTTTTTCAGTGCAGACTGTTATTCTCACCTTCAGGTCAGTGTTGAGGACCCAGATGAAGGTGCAGACGGACGGGTTGCTGCTGGATTTGAGAACCACAAATCCTCCAGGACCGTTCTCCCCCCTGATCCCGACAATCAAAAGAAAGAGTAGATAGGAAAGTTAGAGAAGAAAAAGAAAAACAACCGCACTTCTGTCAAATCGATAAGATGTTCACGGTCTGACCTGACGTAGCGACCGACTGGAGGTTTGGCGTGGTGGTCGGTTGCCATGCCAGCAGACAGGTAGCAGTCTCGTTTGCGCTCCACCCGCCGCACGTTAACAAAGTCCCTGAAACAAGAAAAATCCATCGGTCAATCAATTTACTTTATGTCAGACCTGCAGTTTGAAAAGAAGAAGAAGAAGAAGAAGAGATGAGAGGAGAGAGGCCTGCTGTTGTACCTCGCAGACACCACCCCCCCTGCTGCTCCTGAGGAGACATCGTATGATACCAGAGTGTTGTCGTCCACCCTCTGAAGGATCTGAGGAGAGGCAGAGACCACTGTTACAGTTTGGAAACACACAATGACAAATGTTCGGATCCAGATTGACTTTATTGTCCCACACAGGGAGAAGAAACACTAGAATATCTTATAAACAATATGACTACAACTTTAAATCATAAATGTGTCAGTCCAAAGCCCGCAATACTTAATTTGAAATGATAAAGCGGAGAAAACCCATACATTTTTCATACTTGAGAGACCGCAAAAAACACATTACTTCATTTTCAAATAGTTTGTGATCATTTCATCAACTAATGGTTGCAGCTCTAATCGTATAACAATAATTGTTCAGATGGATGGATAAAAGGTGTCACCTGGCAGGAAGAAACCGTTTTGTTCCACTGGACCATCTTCTCTGGTTGCAGGATCACCTCCTGATACACAAGCTCCGCAGTGCACTGCATGAGGCCCTGAACACAACAAAAATACACAAACATTTCAAAAGGAAGTTTTCCAACCCAGTTTTTTTGTAAACCGTGTCACTTTCCCTCTGATACCTCATTCACACCAACGGTGTTTCAGGGCCAGTTCGGAGCTAGAGCTTGAAAAGCACCGGGTTTTCCTCTTCACACCGCAGCGGAGCAGCCTCTTAGCTCCGGAATCCGGTTCGTTTCAAGCAGCAAAAAATTGTCCGGCCAGAGCAAAAGCACCACATACGTCACGCTTACGTCGAGGCGGGGGCAGGGGCAGGGGCGGGATCAACTCCTGAACAACAACAAGAATCCCGCGTTTTATCCAGCTTGTACACAACGATGGAGAAACTTAACAAGCAGCAGTGGTCCACTGAAGAGACCAGCTACCTACTGGGAATCTGGTCTTCCGAAGAGGTACAGAGGAAGCTGGAGCACAATCGGCCATTGTTGTTGTTGTTGTCGGTGTCAGCTGTGAGGGGTTTCCGCGCGGTTTGGCTTTATGAAGCAGGCACGCAAACGGTTATGTCACGACGCAAACGATGACGCAATGACGCAGCACCAGTCGGACTCTGGGCGGTGTGAAAAGAGCCTCCGCTAAACCGAAGAACCGGTTCTGAACCTGAAAAGCTCTAGCACGGAGCTTGAACCGGAGTTGCGTTGGTGTGAATGAGGTAACAGAGGACTAGACCGAGAGCTGGCTACATTAACCAAAGAGGACCTGAACTCACATGCTTTTATTTAATAGAATGGTTTTTTGATGTAGTTTTGTGTTTTGGTCATGGATACATCTTATTTTCTTGTTTGTGAACCACTAACCAAAGATCATTTTCTATCATTATGCGATATAAAAAAACAATGCTTTTTGAATCTTGAAGAGAAAGCTTCTTCTTGGTGCCTATCTCTAAAGATTTTCTTTAGAACCAAACACTGCAGGACAGGACTCGACACACACAGGACATCCAGCTGAAGGGTTGCTATGTGACTCCAGTTGATCTGAAGCCAGTGGAACAGCAGCAGGAAGTCTCTTTCATTTCTGATCTAATGTTATACCACATCAGTAACAAGTTATTCCACCACCAT